TTGGAACAACTTAAACGTCCAAATGGCAGCGGCGCCAAATTGATACTAAGTTTTTCTACGCTTTTGGTGCTAACGGTATTAATCACCCAGTGTAATTGCACTATAAAGGGCTTCATCAATCCATAAGGACATGTGCAAGCAGTTTAGATGCAATCAATATTTAACAAGTTAAGCCAAGCATGAAAGGTTTTAAACTATCAACTACTGAACTTAACACAAGCAGGAACTAAGCAAGACACAACATTGAACTAAAACGTAAATGAAACTACAAAAATAAGAACATGCAGTGAAGTTGAAATGCAAGAACAGAAATGAAGCAAGGTAAACCAATCAATTAAAGGGAAGTTCTGGGGATGAGATGGTGAAGTGGAGATCTTTAAGTTCACTAGGTTTCTAAATCAATCAAACACAGACAGTGTTGTTTCCTAGACAACAAGCTCATAAGCTAACCATTTCAATCTCTTGAAAAAGGCTATCAAATTCAAATCACTTTCTAATCTCAACTTCTGGTTGATGAAACATGAAATGAAAAGGCATTAAGACTCAGCTCATTAATGTCAAATAACACTCTAGACAACCAATCTTTTGACAAAGGCTATCAAATTCAAATCACTTCCTAATCTCAACTTCTGGTTGATGAAACATGAAATGAATAGGCATTAAGACTCAGCTCATTAATGTCAAATAACACCTTGGACAACTAATCTCTTGGGCAAGACATGAAATTCTCAGGTATTACATTATCCGGCATTCCATCGAACATCTCTTGCTCCTTTTTCCTCTGGTAAACACTTGTTTATGCAACAAAAAAAAAACTACAATGCAAAGCCTAAACTCTACAAATAAAGCAAAACAAAGCAAATATGCATAAATGATCAAGTGATGAGACTTAGAATGACAAAACAATGCATAAAACTAGTGCTAAAATGAGTAAAATCCAGACACATCATTTAGCAATAATCATGAACTCTTTCAATCCATCTAGGAATGCATCGGAGACTAAATTGGTTGTTGGATCCGTTCTTAGATACATCCATTGCCTCACAACATTATGGTTGTTACTCAAAGATTCAAAGCTTAAAAGCTATATATAAACGTAAAGTAAAATAAATCTATACACAAACGAACTGGACTCGTTCCCCTTACGGTAGAATTATCAAAAATCAAAAAAAAAAAAGAAGAAGGAGAAAATACGAAAGAGAATTTTTTTTGCAGGATTCTGTCTTTAAGCAAAATTAAAAGTGATGAAGATGCTTTGCCAATTTCAGCTTAATCGGAATAAGAAAAAGAAAACAAGAAGGGCCCAACAGAAAATAGTTCGTTTACTAGCTGAAGCAGAAGACTCTGACTCGATCTTTGTTTACTAACGTTCCCTGTTTCTTTTGGCTTTTATAAAGAAGCTTTCTAACTAACAATAATGACATGTTTTGTAGATTTTCTTTCTTTTATTTATTAAGATAATTAAAAAAAAAAAAAAAGATACCAATATGATTTTTCCACTATATATTTTATTTTTCTACTATGTGTGTATTCAATATTTATTGTTTTGCTTAGATTGTGATCAACTAACTAGACCGATTCTTTTCTGTTTTTACATGCTTATTTTAAATTTATTACCTTCCTTAGATAATAAACAAATACCACTAATTTTATCAAAAAATAAAAAATAAATTTAATAGACATGTTTTGTAGATTTTCTTTCTTTTATTTATTAAGATAATTAAAAAAAAAATTAAAATATACCAATATGATTTTTCCACTATATATTTTATTTTTCTACTATGTGTGTATTCAATATTTATTGTTTTGCTTAGATTGTGATCAACTAGCTAGACCGATTCTTTTCTGTTTTTACATGCTTATTTTAAATTTATTACCTTCCTTAGATAATAAACAAATACCACTAATTTTATCAAAAAATAAAAAATAATAACAATTACCTAGCATGACCAAAACTATATGTATGTCAATGGTCGACCAAAAAAAATAAAAAATAAACAAGATATGTCAATGTGAACATGTGGGGGTAACCTCTTTTACGTGTGACATTGTGGGTACACACTTTATTCATGATCGTTAGTAGGAGTTAAATTAACTAAAATATGGTAATTCATTTTCTTGACTGTATACCATGAACTACTAGCCACAACATAAAGAATAAGCACAAGATATTTATAAATCCAAATAATCTTATGTATACTTTAATATTAATTAAGTATGCAACAAATATGTTTCATCTCGTAACTTAGTAAGAACATATGAATATATAATATTATATATGTTAAATTTATATAGATATCAGTTATATATAACATATATGTTGCAATAGAGTAATTAAATGTTGTAAATACTATGGCAAAATTCTCACATAATTTGTCACATATACTTACTATAATTTTGTTGTAAAGTAGCCACGGTTCATAATCGTTGAATATTTCTTGCAAATTTGGCAATACTTTTTATATGTCGTAAAAATATTGTTAATTTGTGATGAAAAATTGCTACTTAAACTATTGTAGTTAATTAGCAATAAATTTGTAAGAAAACTGCAACATTGCATTAATTATTGAAAACTATGGCAAATTTGTTACAAAATTTTGACGAATACGATCATTGCAAAACTATGTTGCAATTCTACTATTTCCTTGTAGTGTATGTTTGTAAGCTACTAATTCTTGACCTTCTAGATGGATAGTCAATTTCTATTTGAAAGGCTTCCTTATATGTATATTAAATGCAAATATACACCACATAGCTTTACAAGCAGATAGATATCGAAAATCTAGATGCTCTTGAATTTCTTCCTTTCCTTTACAACCCTTGTTGTATCTTGACTGTTGGTTGTTTTGATAATATCTCTTTCGATCAAAATAGTAGCTATATCCACACCTTTTGTAACATATTGAAAAATATTAGACGACACTTGAAGTGTTGCACAATTCCACGTTAATGTGCGCTTGCTATTTAACCTTGCTCCTTCTTTGGCGACAGCGTTGTTTTCGTTTAAACATCGACTGTATACAATATAACCAGAATGATCGATTGTAGTGTACTAATTATATGGTCGTGGATACTTTTTGGTGCACACCTTATTTGTCATGCAAGGAGATGATGGCCTACCCATGCCACAAGATTCATGCATCATATGCTTCTCCACAAGTTCAAATCCTAATGGTTCTTCAAATTTGTAGGTTAGTTCTGCGGAGATGATTGCATTAATTAGAGTAGGGCTTGGGGTTTTAGGTGCCTTATCAAACCATACAAGTATACTTGCATGTGTTAGTCCGCTTTTCTGGAACTCAATTGTGTGTTGTACTGATTAAGATACTCAAGGCTTTAAGAAGTTCATGTAATTTCATCTTGAAAACACGACATCTAATATAAGTTCATTCATTTCCTGATGTGCCAGCACTTGGAACTGCCATCATTCTCGACCATCCGCCTATAACATCATAAGTATGCATTGTCTCTCAATAACCGAACACGACAATGAGTAATCATCAAAGAATGTCGACGATCTCTCAATAGACATCGCACAACGTTAGCTCTCTGATATGATCATCGATCCCTCGCGAATCCTTGATAACGTTAAATACTTCTTGAATATCTCCATATATCCTCGATCATCAATCCCGACCTCTCGATATTTCTTTCTTGTTGGCAACATCTCCAATAAAACACGACCTCTCTTGATCTGCCAACAGTTTTACTCATCGATCTTGATCCGTGGCTACAAAATCTCGATCTGCATATCAACACTCTCGGTGGCTCTCTCTCTCCTTTTCTACCCTTTATCAATATTTTTGTTGGTGGCGATCATAACGCATGAACCCGCATAACAAACCCTAACTCCATCGATGATCCTTTTATAGGGTCGACTCTACAACCGAGTCTCCGATATTCTCTCGAGAATATCCGCATATCCCAACACTTAGTCGATAAAATCAACTTTAATTCCATTATTGGCACTAACACTCGCAATCTACGAGTTTGGGCTGATAGCAAGCCCACAAACTCACATATTATAAAACATGAAACCTTATAAAAACTAAAAGGTATATAATTTAAAGTTTGTGGAGATGATCAACAATGTAAACTTATGATAACTGACCCATGACAGGCCATGCATGTAGGTCTTTTTTATACACATCAATGCATACTGAAATATACTCTTTAAACTTTAAACTGAACCCTGTTGTTGAATGCATGCACCATCGGCTGTCATCACAAATGTATCGCCAAATTTAGCACATCCTCAACTTAGTTTTTATATTACTTTTAGAACACAAAAAATATAAAAAAATCTTAAATGCAAGGATTGAGTCATACCCAATTAGTTATAATCTAATTCTCATCAGATTTTTAAAGACAAAGAATATGATACACATTTATGTAATATCAGATGTCTTATATGTTGTTTGTTTCAGGCTCATCATTTCCCGCCACAAATAACACATAAACAATCAGGAGTAATTATATAATTAATGACCAATATCAAATTAGTTTTTTTGTATGTGCCATAATCATCATATATATCCATAACAAGAGCATGTCATATGAAGATAAAAAAAAAAAAACAAGAGCATATCATATCAGATCGTTTATGAGTTATATCAAAACAAGAGTATAAATATACATACTTGTTCTACTTGCAAAGAAAACAGTATAAAAAACCATATGAGTAGACAAAATATAAAACATCACAGCTGCATCAGCGGTAAAGAAAGAGAATGAATATCCTTACAAATGCAACTCACGAAGAAGGTAGAAAAAGAATTTACACTTTTGCTACTTGTTCCAGCTGCAAAGAAACAGTTAAACGTAGAATATGATATTACATACATATGTATTATACATAAAGATAGACTTATACATTTTTTTGTAATAAAAACACTTCTCACATTTGATGTCCATGTCTTTGATGTGACAGAAGCTTGTTGGTTTCATGTGTTGAAGTGAAATGACATAACATCTTTTTCTTGCCACTCTAATCCCAAGAGTTAACTATGGTAGCACTTAAGCTTGTTGAAATAGTTTTTGTCTTCTATAATCCTACCCCAACAAAGTAGTATAATGGCATAAAAGTAGCTTAATTGATTCAACCTTCCATGCATTAGCTGCCAAGCCCAGGTGGCGGAGACCTATGTCATAGTCATTAAGGATGAAGTATTGTATGATACGTTGAATATAGTTGGCATCTAGGTTGTTGTTTTCAAGGTATTTTTTATGATTGAAAAGTATTGGATCGAATGTAGTGGTTTCTTCACCAACACACCCGAGAACATGTTTGTCATTTGCCGCTGTTTTTTGCATGAGAGGATGCAATTATGAAAATCTTTGGCGGAGATAGCACCGGCTTTTGAAACTATTATGCCCAACAGATCTTGAGAAAGTGATTCGAGTTTACTTATTCTACTTTTTTTAGGATCCATTGATGTAAATAGAAGTGTTGCAAGTTTATGAAGTGTGAGGAAGGTTTAGTTTGCAAACATATATAGATAGATCAAATATATGAGGGATCCTTCCTCTTCCTGAACGTATATGCCCATGTTTTTCTCTACGTTCACAGCTTTGATTTTAGTGTATTTTTAGTGTGAGGGGAATTCATATTAATAGTATCATAATTAAATAGTTAATTCACATTCACATATTTTATGACAATGAGCCGTTGCTGAGAAGTGAACAGTTCGCTAGAACGTGTCTATGTCACATTTGTATTTGGGCCCATTGGAAAGCCTAATTAGGCCCATTATGCACCACAATCAGATACACATATCACCAGAAACATAACAAAGAAGCTTGTCTCCTTTTTTTCTCGCATGTCCCTTGCCTTCTTATTTCATCTCTCTCTACCTAAAGTTTGTTCTTCTCAAGTGAGATATAAATACAGCCATCGCCATTTTGTTTCTAAGTTAACTCTTCTTCACTTGTTTCTAATGTTTAAAATCTATTAAAAAAATATATCTCATTTTTCATCAATTAACACCCATTTATCTTGATTTCGGTTTGGTATTAATTTGAGGATTCAAAGACTTCGTTGTTTCAATCAATGCTGATATTTTTTATATTTCTCTTCCTTTAGATTTTTTTTTATACGAAAGACATGTGTTTGATTTTGACGGGTTGTATTGAGAGGGAGAAGCATGTTAGGTCAAACCGGAAAACCCAATCCTTAACCCCAACTTTTATCCGTGGTGTTGATGGGTAGGACGACTCTCTCAAGTTAAATGTTGATTCGGGTCTAAGGCATATTAATTTGTTAAGATGATAAATTCTGCATACTCCAAGAGTCTCTATATTGGTAAAAAATATCATCTATATCCTGAACAAAATTTGGCTTTTTCGTTGAGAGAAGTGATTAATTTATCTATTAGACTATATGATTATGTTACTTGATTAATTTAGAATTAAGTAATAATGGGCATATTATGTGCTTCATTCACAACATAGATGATTTAAAGGGAAAAGAAAGCAATATAGTTTTATTGAAAATTTCCTCTTAAGGGTAAGGTTACCTATTATGACCATATAGAACTCATACGATGACTCAGGCTCATTCTCCAGTTGCTTCGAGTGTATAGTTTTTGTTGGTTATCTATAAGGGAGATTGAGACAGTTTAGTGAGAAGTCTTGAAATTGAAATATGTGATCTTAATTTGTAATTTGCAAGTGTTGCCAATGATATGCTTCAAACATTCTCATGTCTGTGCATTTGTTTCTTCACGATGTTTTGCTGGCATCCTGTCAATGAGTGTGTAACTTAGATATTTGGTGTTAGTTTAAACAGAAAAAGTATTGTAAGCTAACAATACCTTCATCTTTTTGTTTAAAACATCAACAAATGTACGACTATCAATTGTGATGGCTTCATTATCAAGGAAAACAAAGGTTGCTTCCTCTTCATCTTTAACATGGACTCTTATTTCGAAATGTTACCTATGAAGTATGGATTTCTTTCAAGTCTACTTATTTATGTTCGTATATTACTATATAAGGAATATATACTTTCTTTTACCTGATGACATGGATGTTGTTAAATTCCTTGCAAATGTTGCAGTACATTGATGTGTCAGCTTTTTCAACTTTGTTGTTGTATTTGCTGCATGAGATGTAGTACCATCCATGTTATGGTAGTGTGTCGAGAATGGTAGCATTACAGTAGAACGTAGCAGACTGTTTTTTGTGATAAATGTTTAATTTGGTAGGGTTTTTTGAAATGAGGGAAAAATGTTTGTAATTAATTGGAGTATACCTGAATTACGTGAGGATTTTCTTCATGTAGAAATTGGTATTTTCCTGTATTGTAAATGTCTCTAGTTTGGTAACAGGAGAGTAGGAGCTTCCAATTGTATGAATGGTTTGACCATTATCACCTAACCTGTTAATTGAATGTAAGAGAGTTAGATATGTTTTTAATATATTTTTTTCAATATAATGAAAAATATACCATGTAGTGTGTTGTTTGGTTTCAGCCACATCGTTATCAAAGAAAATACGTGTGCATGATATTGAGCTGAGGGCTGTTGGTTTCACTTTAGATTGGTTCCACATTTCTTTAAATGACGTAGTAAATTACTACTAGTAATGGTTCCCCAAAGGTAGATGTGAATTGTTTCACCACTATATTTTTTTTAAATCACATAAAAACCTTTTTTTTAAAGATCAAATGATAAATAGCATAACTGTTTATGTTGAAATTTCGGGCTTCCCTAAAATGTATGAGGCAAACTAAAACGTCCTCTTTGCAAAAATCTCCATCAATACCATCAAAAATCTTAAATGTGAATGGCTAAGGAGTATATTGTATGTTTTCTTTAGAGATTTTAAGAGTGAAGAGTTTCTTGAGATGTATGTATACTTGGCGAGGAAAGGAGTTTTTATAGATTTGATTCTTGAAACTGATAATGGTTTGAAGTTAGTGATCATTAAATTATAGAATGATGAAAACAAAGTGAAAATGTTTAAGTTTTGAATCTGGTAGGCCTTTTTAATTTGAAAAGAAAGTTGGATCGATAAATTTGTTATTGTTCTCTTTCAGTATGAATCGTGAAAGTAAGAGGTGACGGTGGGAGGTGGAAGATTTTTTTTATTGTGAGAAAAGTAGGGTTTTTTTTAATTAGTTGGGCCGAACACATACGTCGAACATTTTGGGTTGTTGTGTATATAGACTATTATGTATCATATAACAGTATTTTGTATATTGAATCTAGAAAAGACCCAACCTGTTTTTTATATACATGCATAACCGGATTAAACCTTTTGTAACCTGATCAAACCGATCCAAATCAATTTAAACCATCTAACCCGATTAACCCAATCATGACCAGCTAAACCAAACATTTCAATTTAAACCAGCTAGTCAGATTACCCAATCCCAAACATTTACACCAAGCTACCCAACTAAAATCAACAGAATACATTTAAATCAATAATCCGATAACCATAGGCATTAAACCAATAATACACCAAACCGGCAATCATCCAGAAATATCATAGCAACCTATCATGCTTCTAAGTTCCATAACTAACATTCCTAACAATGTCATAACATAAAAAAACATAACAACAATCAACGAGCCCCTAGATCATTCCTCTCTCCTCACCCTGACTCCACGGTCACACCTTGGTTTTACCTGATTCCACAATCACATAATGACACTCAAGCTCGACACTTCGTGATGCGGATATCAAAACTAGATCAAACCAGGAGCACACCAAAAGAAAACGGTCCACATACCAAATCGGCTTACATGGAGCATTTAAGAGAATTTTTTCTTAAATGGAGCTATGATCAAGTACAAGGCGTCGGGTTAGTTATTCACCATGATATTAACCTTAAGAAGTACACTGGTTTAATAAGGATCAAAAGTCAGCAAGTCAACTCACCTTATTTTCGGGATATGAATTTTGCACTCATTTCTATGGTTTTCCTTATGGGTTTACCTAGAAAGGTTTTTAATGAGGCAACACCAAGTCATTAAGGAATCATTTACCATTCATATGATTCGAAGATGATAGATGATATACATTCTGAACTACTCACTGACGGACATGCTGAACTACTCGCTAACAAGCATGCTGAACTACTTGCTGACAAGCATGCTGAACTACTCGCTGACATACTTGTTGAACTACACCATTTGGCAAGTTGTGAGGATTTTAAGTCTTTTGACACTTGGATCAGCCATGAAGGGTACCCACACACTCATTTGATTCAACACAAGGCCCCAACCCATGGAGAACAAACCAAGCATTGGTTATGAACACACAAGCAGTGAAGTCTGACCCTTGAGATGCTTCAGAGTTTTATGGTTGGTATGAATGATGAATACCTTGGACAACAAGTAATGTTGCCATGTCTCAAGTGCTTGTACTATGGCATAAAGCTCTTTGTCGTAGGTCGGGTAGTTCAAAGCTGCTCCACTCAGCTTTTCACTGAAAAATGTTACAGGTCTTTCCCCCTAATGTAGTACAGCTCAAAATCCCAACCTGATGCATCACACTACACTTCAAACATAACTTCAAAATCTAGAAGCGCTAATATTGGTGCTTGTTTGAGCCTCTCTTTCAGCATGTTGAACGACTGTTCTTGAGCTTATCCCCATGATAATGGTACATGTTTCTTGATTACAGCAGTCATTGGTGCAGCCACTGTGCTGAAGTCTCTGACAAACCTCTTGTAGAAGCTTGCTAGTCCATGAAAACTACGGATGTGTCCAATGGATGTTGTAGTAGGCCATTCACGGATCGCCTTGATCTTTTCCTCATTTACCTGTAGGCCATTTTTACTCACTACAAAACCTAATGATAGGACTCGAGCCGTTTATTTTTACTCACCTCACAGAAAACTGGTGTCGGCCGACGCAACCAAAAACTGGTGTCGGTCGACACCACCAAACTGCACTGCGATAAAGTGAATGGTGTCGGTCGACACCCACACCCTGAAACGCATTCACCAACGATCTCAGCCACCCAAGGATCCTAATAGCACCATCACATCACCTCCCACGATGACACTAACCAATAACAGTCACACAATGCCACACAAACAGCAGAAAACATCACAAGTACAACGGATTCAATCCACACATCACATAAACACCAATCACGTAATCTTAACGCTTAGATAAGCCATACTCACGCACTCACCTCTGATTTGGATTGGACGGATGGACGAAACAGAGAAGAAGAACACTCCAGCAACCTCTCTTCACACCCACAGCCACGAATCCCACTGATCCTTTGCTAGAACACTGAAGAACAGCCTCCAGAGACCCTCACAAGCTTCTCCTTAAGCTTTAGGAACAACTAACTCACAACCCTCGCTTTCTCTTTTGTTTTCAAGAAGCGATCAAAGCCCAAAGTGAGAAAGAAATGCTGCTTCCACGAGTGTAAAGTCGTGCTTAGGGTTTCTCCAATCAATTCCAAAAAA